TAAGAATAAAATAAACAAAACGATGCTACTCGGATGTGAAATTTTTTAATTCATGCTAGCTTCATGAAAAAATTTTATCAGATAGTTACAAAACTCCCATTCAAGGTGTTTAAAAAATTAAAAGATCAAGAGCCTAAAGCGAATCTGTTGAAAGTGAATGTCCAGGCTCTTTTCTGCACCCGAAGTGGTGGTAGTGGGCAAGGATACCAGTGGCTTCATCACTTAAAAGCTGCTTATAAACAAGCTGATGGCAATTCCGCTAATTCAGGCGCCAATTTATCGAACAGAAAGCAGAGTTTTTCCCACTGGCGAAGTCAAACCCTCGACCTCAACCTTAAGCATGACAGCTGCGCTAGTAGCCTCTGCGCCATGCTCGTCAGCCCAGTACTGAAAATTCGACAAAAGATGCTGAAAGTCGTCAAGATTTCAAACTGTCCCAAATGAAAGACTAATCAACACCCAAAAAGGCTTACTTGAAGTGCTCGACGCAGTTGTCTACAATCTGTACAAGGCCGTCCATTGTTGGGTATGTGTAGCTGAAAAAAAATCAAGAAAATAAGAGTTTTTTTTTGCTTTCGAATAAGCTTAAAGAGAGTTTACCCGTACCGATGATATCTCAAGGTTTCTTGAAACAACGGTAAGCTAAGCTTCGCCAGTCTTCCCCCTCACAAGAAGCATCTGTTAAACATATACTCAGCCTGATCAGCTGCCTTTCTACCGTAGTTTATGTTTCTTATATGACTGATGCTATTGAGAGCATTTCATGGTAGATGAATTACTTGCTGGTCAGTATGCCGATGATCCAAAAACATGGTTTCCCATGCCTACTTTTTTGTTCTCCCAAATAGAAGTTTCAGAATCACCGTGCTTCCTCTGCGATTTGTATGCTCTGTCAGCTAACTCATTTATAATTGGCCCTTTTCCTTCACTACTTTGAATCTTCAAGCGAGCAAAAACGTGTGCCAAGAAACAATTGCGTAGGAAATTCCACTGGCACAGGGCTTCAAGTACAGACGTCTTCGCCGGTTATAAGTGCAAACCACTACATGATTCGAATACATCACTTGTGCTGCTAATTAGACTGAAGATTGTTTCGTTCCCTTCCACACAATTTGAGCCCTCGCTTTTGCCTCACATTATCAGTAGGATCATTGAGATGCAGAAGGATATCAGGACAGTTAGATGTCTGATCATCAGGCGATGCAACATTGGCTAAAGTAACTGGAAAACTTGACAAGTGCATCGTTAGAAAACCGAACCATGCATTAACAGCTATTCAAAGGTATTAAATTTAAAGCACAAGTTGGAAGCGGTGCAAAGAAATGGTTCACTTTCAAAGACCTGTGTGGGAAAGTATATAATAAGCACTTGGAACACAGAGGAAAGTACATAATAAATAGGGCTCACGTACGGGCACGTGAAAACTATGGCGGGAAAATTCATAACTCGCGAATGAAATAAATGGTGGTTAAGGCCGGTGCGATCATGCGTTTTGTGCAATTCAGCCCATCGAACGATTGCCTGTTAATGATTTCCACTTCCTTGTACTTTAGTCTATGCAAAAATAGTTCAAACACTGAAAAACAGTTAAAAATTCACGCACCAGCGTATGAAAGCTGAATTCGAAATCTTGAAGGATGAATATCTTTCCGTGATTCCCGAGCTAATAGTTTACCCGTCAAAACT